TCTTTTTGTATGATAGGGAAAGTAATCTATAGTTATTATTCCAGTGAGCAGATTAAATGGTCTCGCACTGGATTAGATGGTCGCAGGAATGTAGAGGGTTTAGAAGGGCTACCTAAGTTTCCCCGTTATAGTAGTGTATCGCTGGTCGATTATGGTGGTAAGATGCTTGTTTTGTGGGACAAGTATTTGCGTGGAAGTGGGTATAGCGAGAAGATGATTTGGTGTGCAGTGATTTCGCTTGACGTCCGCCGCAGGGAAGAGATTTGGGGAAATGTTGAGTGGGTTGAGGCGGTTCTTACAGTCCCTAAGTCTTACAAGTTCGTCTATGCTATTGCTGCTACTGTTTAATTAAACGACGGGTTTAAACATAATGGAATCAGGTTATCTCGTTATCGTTTCTTAGTATGTCACTTAGGAGGAATCATCTCTACTCCCTTGCTTGTAGTTGATTAAGCTTATTTTGTAATTGTCTTCTTTCGATAAACCCTTTGATCACAATTCTCAAATGCCTCATGAGACATGCGCGTGGTATCGTTTATGTTATGAATATGTGTTTCCCTTTCATTTGTTGCGACAATGACAAATGCTTGTATCGTGGTTTTAGAGCAACAATGATTCACTTGTTGACTCACTCACTTGTACACGCTTTTAGCCTATCTTGCGACGGCAAATGACCAAAATGTCTTTGGAAACACTTTTGTTTGTGTTGACATTAGAAGGATACGGTTCTTTTACAACTATGACAATAACTAAAAGAAGATACACAGTAGTGTTTGTTCCTCATTTGTGTAATGAACAAGTTGTAGAAGAAAATGGTGTTAGAGCTTATATGTTCATGTATTGTTATTGTAGTGAACAAACAAAGAAAATTGTTACTGCAAAACGATTTGTTCCTCTGTTTCATTCCCAAGCGAACAAAGTTATAATCCAAATGCAAACACAAATTAAAATTGATCATGCTTGAAGAAACTCAATCTGCCATTAAAGAAATATTAATAACCAAAACTAAGACTCAGGAGGAGCTGGTGGTGCTTGTGCATGGTTTGAACCACTGCGTCCTTGTCCACGCATTGAAGCACTGCCTTTTATTCTCGTCCTCCTCGCTTTGATCAACCTTTTATCCCAAGGACCTTCTCCAAATTCTTAATTTCCCATCAACAACAAAAGATGAAATGTAAGAAATTATAATTTTATTTTGCTCAAGAAAAGTGTGTACATGTATATATATATAGTTTGTTAGAACCAGAAACTTACGCATCTTTGGGAATTCATTTCTTACTTGGACCAAAGCTGTGTTTGATGATGATACATAGAACGAGAGATAAATCGAAGTTACTAACCAAATTAAAGCTAATTTATACATTTTTTTTCTCTGTTAGCTTAAAATTATGATGTTCATCTT